TATGTAAAATCTGAGATAGTACAATTTTCTTGGTGGCAATTTTCCATCTTTAGTGGGTAGCGGTTCAGTGGCACATAACATTAACTAAAATCGTAGTAAAGAACTTTAGGCTTCGCACTACTTTGTCTAGATTTCATTACTTTTTAGAGATGAATCAGCCTATCAAATATAAAAAAATGAACGACCAGCTCCATCGAGACTTGGCTAGTATTTTACAGGTTTGATTAACACGATTTAAATGAGACTAATTCGAAAACAAAGAATATAAAGTGTAAATTATAAATTCCGATTGACATTGACTTTTTTGGAATGAGATACAGTAATACTTTTGGTATTTTGTATATACTAGCTGTTACCCGCGACTTCGTCCGCGTAAAATAATGACTTCAAGTACAAATTGGGGTTTTGAATTAGTCTTTGCCAAGGTATATTCTACGGCTCTACGACTGTAACAAATGTCATCAGAATCGATTCAGTACTTAGATTATAGTTATTGCGAAATTAATTTATTTTCGTGGTTTCAAAAAATAAACTTTCCCACATGAGTTTTACCCGTAGGTACAGTGCCCGTCTCGTGAGGTTTTAGTCATAAAAACTGATCATATTCATGATCAACATGATCGCTGGACTGTGTCTACATCAGTCATTGTTCCGCTATTTCTCACGGAATGGAGCAATAGTGATTGTTGTTTATTTAAAAATTATTTGTTTTGTTTTACTGTGGGTAATTTTAAGTATCACTAACACTAGTCTATAAGAACATTGTTACTAACAATTTGGACACAGTGGTCTGAAATAAAGTATTTATTATTATTTCCATATATTTATTTAAAAATTATTATTATGTATAGGTAAACATTCACGGGACCACAGGGTCCCGGTCATTTAGCAGGCGTACGAGGGGCCGAAGCCAACTGCGCAGAGGCCCTTTAGACAACTTTAATCTAACTGTAATGGACATAAACCGGCGACTATCCCTGTATGCACTATGGAAATGCACCTAAGGACAGTCCCCAGTTAGTGTAGAACTATTGTGGATAATGGAATAAAAGGTAGGATGGATGGGTTGCTGTGGACCGGTAAATTGGGTAATTTGATAAACAGCCAGTTAAGGTAAGCCGGAGAATAAGGAACGGTGATTTCTCCCTAGAGCACTCAGGATGATGGTAGCCCGCGGGGTTGCTAATGCCCGTCACCTCGCCTCGAAGTGGCCAGTGGGCTTTATCCTTACTAATATTATAAATCGGAAAGTGAGTTTATTTGTTTGTTCCACTTTCACGCCGTAACTACTAAACCCATTGCTTTGAATTTTTGCAGTTGTGAAGTTAGAAGTCTGGATTAAATAATAGGGTACTTTTATCCCGGAAAAAAATTATATTCTCGAGGGAAAACGAAATTATTTGTATAGATGGCGCTGTGTGTATTGGTATAATGTCACATAGGCTACTTTTTATACTTTTGTGACGCGAGCGAAGCCGCGGGTAAAAGCTAGTTATCATTATAAAAACTATTCTATGGTTGCAAATCAATGTTGTACCGAATTTCAATCAAATAGATAATTATAGTAGTCCTCCTTTTTTTCAACGTCTCTGTAATTTTAACGCATAGTTCCCGTTCTTCTGGGATTTCCTCCTGGATATAGGTCCCTCCTGGTTCTATGTGAGACGAATAATGAGGCCTGATTATATACCAATGCGACGTTGTATTGCAAATTTTTTGATAAAAAAATAGTTATTGTGGCATTATGCTAGTTACATATGATACGTGGACATTTACGTTGATATTAATGTCCTCTTTAAGACTCTATACGTCCCTTGGCTCTATTGTCCATAATCTTTATAGTGTAAGTAATACCAATAATATAAGGAGTTTTTTTGGTAGATTTTGCACACATCGGGTTAACATTACCTAAAGGACTAAAATAAAAATTACTAATATTAATATTCAGCTCTGTGTAATTGGTTTTTGATATATGAAAAAATACAGTTTCAAGTTAACAGAAAATATTTTATTTATTTATTTATCATTTCATGTACCCACACCATACAGACAATATTACAAGAGACAACACATTATAAGCATGAGGTACATAGGTTTTTCTCTTCTTAGTCTGCTGTCAACTGCTTTTCATACATTAATGTTAATGTCATAACAAAAAAAAAAACTATAATACACTGGCTTCGTAAACTCACTAGTTAAACAAATGTCAGATGACATAGAAATCTATACTAATATTATAAATTTGTGTGTGTCTGTTTGTTTATCCTTCTTACACGGCAGAATGTAGCTAGAAGGTTTTTTTTTGATTAGAGATAGTTGAAAGGATGTAACATAACATGACAGAATATGGGCTATATTTTGTCTCTTTCTAACACCCACTTCTCTGAAACAGGACTTGAAGTTGGTATGGAGCATGTTGAAATTTTCAAGATGGAATGCTAAAAATTTGGACGAAATCGTACATATTCTGCCCTCAGCCCATTAAGAAACTAGTCCATCAATAAATTGTATTCATTTAATTGTTTTTTTTCCTTCAAAATAGTTGTTCCCTGGTGCAGATGGAATACTAATATAAAGCCTTAAAAACCCAACCCAATAACCCCAAAAAATGGATTCATTGCATTATGCTGTCGCAGACTTTAAATTAGAACTAATCAAGACAAACAATCGTACAGTACATTATCTTTGTGTATCTTAATCCTATGATTTAGGCAACGTACGCCCAGATAGTAGGTCTCGGAGGCCCGATTTGCTTACGACTTAACTAACTTTTTGTGTTGTATTACGCCCAAAATAACATAAATCTTTTGATATAAAATTGTAGCCTCTATGTTATTCTGATATTATTATATGACCTACATTACTATGAAAATTCATCTAAATCAGATCAGTAGTTTTTCTATGGAATAGGAGGCAAACGAGCAGACGGATCACCTGATGGTAAGCGATCAGCGCCGCCCATGGACACCCGCAATACCAGAGGAGTCACAGGTGCGTTGCCGGCTTTTTAAAAAGGAATACGCTCTTTTCTTGAAGGTTTGAAGGTCGTATCGGTTCGGAAATATGTAGTTTTATGATAGTTTGTAGCATGATGAGCAAGTGCATGGAGTCTGTTGTCATTGTACTATGTTTAGTTAAAACATCATTACTTTAAACCACGCACTTTCACAACACCAAAATCCACGAATCTACTTTTTGGAATGAGCACCTAGCTTCACCTAGTTTCACTGACGGACTGACTGACAGACTATTATTTATTTTGGATTTGTTGACGTTTCAAAAGTACCAAACTATGGTTTAATTGAAATAAATGCTTTGGCTTTGACTTTGACACGTAATAGCTCTTCGTTTTTAACTCAAAATTCTTAAATCTGGCTGAGTTTTTTATTATCATTTGATCTGGAAGCTGGAATCCAATTCCGATCGACCTAGTTACATTGATATTGTGAAATTTCATACTCTTGAGCAGCACTAGCGCCCATTGCAAACGCATTGCATGGGTATTTTTTTGAAAAAAAAATTATGGCATAAGCCGATAAACGGCAGACGGATCACCTGATATTAAGCAATCGGCGTCGCCCATGGACACCTGAAACACCAAGGCGTTACAGTTGCGTTACCGGCCTTTTGGGAATTGAGAATTTGAGGATTGTGGAGGATTCGGGGGTTGGGGAGACTGGGGAGGGGGTAATTGGGCCTCCGGTAAAATCACGCACACGATGAAACATAACGCAATGGTATTGGTATTGAGTGGTGGTATTGAGTTTAGCTTTATATTTTGTACTCTGAATGCTCTTTTAATAGCTACGTTAGGGGTTGTATAGTTTTGACATTGAATAATTATTGAGATTTTGTTGGATTGAAATTGCATCGACATTGTGATTGGTTTCAAGAGTAAGCGCCCTGCTATCACAGTGTGTAGAATCGAAAATTCATTAACAATAATTTTGATAGCTTCTTTGTATAACCATAATAATTATAAAATATAACGCACTCAATAAATTCTGGATCTGCTCTGTTTGTGAAGACGACACCTGTTGTATAAACCAAAGGGTATTTTTTTTTAAGGGGGGAAAATCTTCGAAAGACTGCTCCCGCCTGGGTTAGGCGGGAGAGAGTGTCAGACTCTTACTAACTAAAAACCACCCCGTTCCTTCTCCTGCACGTCGAGCCGGAGCCCCGGTAACCCGTTAGGTTAAAGTCCCATCTTACTAGGCGAAACAAGATGGGGGCTTTGCAAATCTTTTAAAATAGAAACTATTTATTTTCAATTCATTTGATAGAATTAAACAATTACCTATAAAATCATATACATATCGCCGCGACCACGCATGCTGCTTATGAGGCAGAACCTCTCTGTAGTTCAAAACTAATAGAGTTTTTCTCAGTATTTTCACGTGAGTGACCCGCGATTTGTAGTTAAATTCTACACAATGTATGAGATGAAAACATATAAAAAATATTTACAGACAAGTATTGTTACTCTGAGACAATAGAATAGTTGAAATAGCTTCAATAAATGAGCCTATTTGTTAAGATAATAGCTGTTGTCCGCGACTTCGTACGCGTGGAATATGAATTGTAGAACATAACTTTTTTGTTTCAATTTTCCAAAATAATGTTACTTTTTAGTACATCTGCTACCTGCCAATAAAAGTCTTGCAAAATTAGTCTAGCCATCCCAGAGATTAGCCAGTACAAATAGACAGACAGACAGACAATTATTGTACAAAATGTTGTTCTGGTATGTGTATCGTATATATATTTATATGCATGTCGTAAAAAGCGGTTATTTTAACACTACAAACTGATGCTCCAATTTTATTTATATGTATAGATACATATAAAAATATTCCACAATAACATCTATTTTTAACATTTGAAAATTTTAAGTTTTTGCGGTAATTATTCAAAAGTAAAACCGGATCTCTGCAACCTTCGACCGTTATATATATTCGAAATCTAGTATGCACCTAGTTTATAATGAATTGTTTTCCAAAATGTATGTGTTAGTGCTAGCTGTGATAATTGGTGTCGTGATATCATTATGGTACTGGACGAGAAACTATCCTCGTTCTCCTCCAATATATCCTGGGGGATTACCGATTATTGGACATCCTTATATAGTCATGAAGCACCGCAAAGGTAATTTAAAGTTCAAAAATATTTATTCGACTTCAAAGACGGAGGTTTCCAGTTTGACCTGATGTATGTTGTGTGCAATTTTCTCGCGATGGCTGAAAAGATTTTAATGCGGTTTTCAGAAAAGTGTTTGTAGAACTTAGGAGATAGTTTTAGTATAATAATTAAACGACTTCAGAAAAAGAGGGGGTTGAAGTCGATTTCTTCAAAAGTAGTTTTTAAAAAAAAATTCAAGGCTAAATTTAGTTTTAGACTGGTTCTTGTATTCTGGACAAATAATGGTTCAATTTAGTCGCAAGCATAATTATTAAGTAGCTTTCGCTGCTCAAGACGACTTAGCTACTTATCAATGCTCCGGCTCTAAACAGGACAAGGAATGCGGTAGTTTTTAGTCAATAAGAGTCTGACACTCCCTCTCGCCTCACACAAAGCCGATAAAGTCATTGAACGATTTTTCCACCTTAAAAAAGGGAAAATACTGAGATATATAAATTTCTAGCAGTTTCCCGCGACTTTGTCCGCGTAATATAATGACTTCTGGCAAATTTTGGATTTTAAATTAGTCTTCTCCAAGGTTAATTCCAATGCTGTGTAACAAATGTCATCAGAATCAATTTAGTTATATATAGGTATTTTATTGTGAAATGTGTAATGCATTATCGTGATTTAAAAAAATAAACAGGGGCTTTTACCCGTATAATACCCGTGAGGTTTCAGTGATTAAAACTCTATTTGACTGCACGGTTGGTGCGGTGGCTGGGCAACCGGCTGCCGTGCAACGTGTCGCGGGTTCGATTCCCGCACGGGACAACACTTTGTGTGATCCACAAATTGTTGTTTCGGGTCTGGGTGTCTTTGTGTATGTGAACTTGTATGTTTGTAAACGCACCCACGACACAGGAGAAAATCCTAGTGTGGAGCAACGTTAAAAAAAAAACCAAATAGGTACAGCGGTTGAAAATCAGGCGCCATTTTCCAAGTCTCAAACTATCCTTGTACCGAATTGCACTCAAATAGGTTCAGTGGTTTAAGCAATAGAGTCCTGGAATATACGCATAGTTTCTGTCCCGTGAGATTTCCTTTTATTTTTAAATCTCTGATTCTGAAGCAGCTAATCTATATATATAAAAGAAAGTCGTGTTAGTTACACTATTTATAACTCAAGAACGACTAAATCGATTTGGATGAAAATTGGCAGGGAGGTAGCTTAGAACCAGGAGACGGACATAGGATACTTTTTATCTAATTTTTTTTTACTTTTACGAAAATCACGTACGGGAACGGGGGGGAAATGGATTTGCGCGTACGAAGTCGCGGGCAGAAGCTAGTTACTATTATTTGTCAAAACAGTTTTCCATTGGCAGTCAAAGGCTTAAGCAATATAAGGAATTTTTTAGTAGTATTTTCACACATTGGGTTACATTATCGAAATTTTCTTACGGTTCCCTTTTACCTGTCTTATTAAATGTAGCCTTTTTTTTTTGAGGGGGGAAAATCATCCAATGACTTCTCCCGCTTGGGTGAGGCGGGAGGGAGTGTCAGACTCTTACTGACTAAAAACCACCCCGTGCAGGTGTAGACTTGCACTTCGAACCGGAGCCCCGGCAACCCGTTAAGTCTTCCGCGGCTCCGTATATTAAATGTAGCCTGTGCTTATCATCGATAATGTAGGAATCCAACGGCAAAAGAATTTTCCAAATCGGTCGGGTAGTTTCGGAGTCTATTCAATTCAAACAAACAACTTTATACCATTAGTGTAGTTGTAAAAGTAAAAATGTTATGTAAACAAAACTACTAGTAAACTTTATTTTTTTTTTAAATTTGGCCTACACTAGGATTTTCTCCTGTGTCGTAGGTGCGTTTACAAACATACAATTTTACATACACACACACCCAGACCCGAAACAACAATTTGTGCATCACACAAAGTGTTGTTCCGTGCGGGAATCGAACCCGCGACACGTTGCACGGCAGCCGGTTGCCAGCCACCGCACTAACTGTGCAGTCAATTGTATTAAAAGGTTTTTTATTTTCAGATTTATGGGGTTTTATGCAAAATATTGGTGATTACGTTTTGGATAACGGAGGGATAGTCCAACTTCGGGCAGGCCCTATCATAGTTTATGGTAAGTAATAGCGTAACTAAGAAATGCAAAACGTGATGTGTTGAATGGGGATGATGCCAGAGTATGAAAATTAAAAATATAATTAGTCCGTAAGTTAGGTAATGAAAAAATATTAGACACGTATTTTTTTATTTTGTCGTATAATAAAACAATACTTAGATAAAACGAATCAAAGTTTAGGAGTGGGGGCTAAAACGTCATTCCTTAGTATAAAATGTACTGAGAAGTGACGTCACGCGACATTTCAAATCAATATATCTTCGAAACTATTCGTTTCTGTGAGAAAATAAAAAATACGTGTCTAATGTTTTTAAATAATCTATCAGACGGACATTAAAATAAAAATTAGTCGTCTACCCCATTATCAATACAATCTTAATTATTTGGCTTTTAAACATTTTCGTTTCAACCGTGACCGAGAAAAATTTCTCATAACACATAACATAACAACATCACGCCTTTTTATCCCCGAAGGGATAAGCAGAGGTACACATTTCGGCACTTAATGCCACTGTACAATGTAACACCCACTTTTAACTATTTATGTTATGAGTCCCATGTAATAGGGGGTGAGCCTATTGCCATATACCGGGTACATTTCGAGACTCCGTGCTAATACTGAGATTTTTAAAAACCCATTAATACTTTACCCGACCCGAGAATAGAAACCCGAGACTTCTTGCCCGGCAGACGCACTTGCGACTACTCGGCCATCGAGGCAGTCTCTCAGAAATTTCTATCATGTCACCTATGCGACTGTAGTCACGAAATCTCTTAAAATGACAATACTTTGAGGAGGGAGATCCAGTAAAACCAGTACACTAAACTTCTAAATTCTGTTTTAATGATGATTATTATTTTATTGCAGTTGTGAGTGATCCAGAAGTCGTCGGAAACATAGCAAACACATGTTTGGACAAGCCATATTTGTACAATTTCTTAATTGATAGCATAGGAAATGGATTGGTAACATTGAATGGTATGCAATGGCAAAGATATTTAATTATCTATAAATACTCATATATTAAGGAAGAAAAATTTGTATAGACGTTTGTAACTAAATTGCACAAAAAGTACTAAACCGATTATAGACATTCCCATACAATTTAAAGGCTTGTTAGTGATTAAATTAGGCTATTTTGTCCACCCGTATACAGCCGGGACACTTCGCTAGTGTTGATCAAACTAATGATTTGTATTTATTAAACTGTCAAACACCAAGCGGTCACCGGTGACCGCGACCTATTGTTCTTTAATTGTGTCTATAAAACCGGTACTCGACGAGTTAAACATTCGTATAAAATGTCTTACTTCAGGACCCACATGGAGGATACACAATAAACTACTAAGTCCATCGTTCAATCAACAAGTATTGAACACGTTTCTACCTGAAATGAATGGAGAGGCTCGAAATATGGTCGCACAAATGACTGCTGTGGCTAGAAATGGTCCAGTTGACATCAAGGAATTTATAACTCAATATATACTAAGATCAGTTTGTCGTAAGTTTTAACCATTAATCCTTAAAAACGTTTAAAAAGGCCGACAGCGCATTTGTAACTCCTCTGGTGTCGCGGTTCATGGAAGGAATTATATATTTACGCGGCAATTAGTCGACTCTTTGCAAACTATTCTGTAATATAACATACTAGCTTTAACCCGCGGCTTCGCTCGCGTCACAAAAAGATAAAAAGTAGCCTATGTGACTATTCATCCCTTCAACTATCTTTAGATAAAAAATCACGTTAAGTACCTCCGTTTTGCCGTTTAAGACAGGCAAACAAACAATTAGCTGTTCCCTCGCGTGGAATTCGGTTATATCGCGCTTTTTAGATTTTTCCATGGGAATGAGAAGTTCTGCCGCGGTAAAGCCTTGCTTTTCCAGGACTCAAACTACCTTTATATCAAATTTCTTCAAAATCCGTTCAGCCGTTTAGCGTGAAAGAACAACAGAAGGAGTTATTTTCGCATTACCACAAATACCACCCTCCCATTTTAATTTAAAAGACTTCTATTTCCTATAAGGGTTTCATTTGCAATGTTAAACTAAAACTGAGTGGTAAACTATATTATACGTTTTATTATCGAAAACCTAAGTACTTTAGACATCTACTTAGAAATAAACCACTTCACTAATCTAACCTAATTAATATACAGCTAATGTATCAATCAAACATAACAATGAGCGACTTAAAACGACGAAAAAAAACTACTTTAGATACTAAAATAATATCTTCCTACAAAAAATATCACTTGATTAATCAAACCTACAGAGCGGACGAATAAAAATCAATAATAGTGCTAGATGCGTACACCGAAATATAATTGTTTCGAATTCGGAAGCTCGGAACCCATACTTTCGCCGGTAACGAAACCATAGCGCCATCTAACTCGATCCTTACGTCATCTATCGAGCGTTGGAACAACAGCGTACAATATATTTGCTAATTGTTGAGTATTGTTGCCACTATGGTTTCGTGGACCTACCTTTAACAACCTAAAACCTATAAAACACACAATATAATGTAAAATGGTTGGAACCAACATTTAAATGCGAAAAGTGCTTAAAAAACAACGCTACCCCGTTTTATAAACACTCAGCGCCATCTATCGCCAAGTAGCGTAACTACTACATAGACACCAATTTCGTGTATCTTCAACAACCTAAAATCTATAAAATACACAATTCAATGTAAAATGGTAGGAACCAAAATTGAAAAGCGAAAAATACTTAAAAAACAAAACGTTACCACGTTTTTAAAAATGACATATAAAACAGCAAATAAATGATTCGAAAAATGCATCGAATAAGTGTAGATTAACACCAAATAAGCGCTATAGATTACCTAAAGCGTGAAATTTCCAATTAGTAGGTAATTCGTTGAATTGTTTTAAATGGCATACAGCGCCATCTATACGAATACACACAGCGCAATCTATACTAATATTTTTATTTTCCCTCGGGAATATCACATTTTTCCGGGATAAAAAGTACCCTATTATTTAATCTGGACTTCTAACTTTACGTCTGCAAAATTTCAAAGCAATCGGTTTAGTAGTTACGGCGTGATAGTGGAACAAACAAACAAACAAACAAACAAACAAACTCACTTTCAGATTTATAATATTAGTAAGGAAGTAAGGATTACAAAATTCAACCAAAAAGGATACCTTTGCATATGTAGTATGGCTGTTTGTAGTTTATTTTATTTTGCTGACGTATATTGACATGCCTGACTAAAAGTTGATAAAAGGTCTTAACACAAATCGTCAGACATGACAATCAGACAGGGTATGATGTTAAAGTTCAATTTGTATTCGTAGGAACATCACTGGGATTGGAATCTAAACATCAAGATACAATCGACAATGGTTACGCGAAAGCGCTAGAAGAAATCTTGAGAATTGTAGGCTACCGTGCTTTAAATGTGCATATACATCCTTCATGTATTTACAACTGGACGTCAATAAGAAGAAGAGAGTTGGAACTAGTCAAAATTGTTAAGAATATGATAAATCCTGTAAGGATGCATATTTTTTCCTACATGGCGTATGAGTTTTTCTTAGTTTGTTTTACAGTGACTTATAAAATTATAAATTCCAGATAATTCAAAAACGCAAATCTCAATTAAAACCTACAAAAATTGATAATTACGATAGTTCAACAACAGGTAAGATTATGGTGGGATTGCATTATTATTCTGTTAATAGAACTATCATTGCGTCAAAGTACTATACAACACGCATGTTAATAAGTTCTACGCGTACTTCGTGCACAGCGACATTTATTTTATCCGTACCAACTTTTGCTTTCGTAACGTTTTTAATTGTCTCTTGACAGCCTACATTGCATTATACTTCGTTGCATAATTATTCTGATTTTTTGAAACACATTACAGAGAACTATAGAAAAAAAGAAAGAAAAAGCATTTATTTGACATTTGGCACGCACACAGATACTAAAAAAAAAAATTAAAAGAGAAAAGTAAAAATAAATACTATAGGTAACTTTTGCATAATAAATATGGATTTAGTTTCAGGTAAATTCAAACCTACGCTAGATTTGTTGTTACATTTGTCTAATGAACAAAACGTCCTCACCGATGATGATATTAGGGCGCATCTGAATACTTTCGTAGCAGCTTCTTACGACACAACTTCAGGAGTATTGCATAACGCGCTGATGGTGCTTGGGTCATATCCTGATGTACAGGAACGAGTTTATGAGGAGTAAGTTTGAGCTTCCAATGAAGTTTTTTTTCCAAATTTTGCCATTTGTTGTTCTTGTCCTTATGACATAAACATATTCACACATTCTCTTAAATTAGCTGTAAGCCTTTTATCGATAGAGTAGGTTCCATATCATTAATATCATATTTTAAGTCTGGGATAGTCATGCTTCGCACAAATGGGCCGGCTCGACCGGAGTAATACCACGGCCTCACAGGAAACTGACGTGAAACAACGTTTGCGTTGTGTTTTATCGTGTGAGTGAAGTTACCGGAGGCCCCACTCCACACCTCTGGATCTCCCCAACCCCCAAATCCCCTACAACCCTCAAATTCCTAATCCTTGAAAGACCGGTTTAACGCACTTGTAACACCTCTGGTGTTTCGGATGTCCATGAGCGACGCTGATTGCTTACCATCCAGTGATCCGTCTGCACGTTTACCAACTTATCTCATAAAACCTGTTTTCATCATTTTATAGGGTTCAAGACGTTTTTCAAAACAATGAGGAGTTGACGAAATACGATATGTCAAAACTTGTATACTTAGAAGCTGTGATAAAGGAGGTATTGAGGGTATATGTCGCAGCTCCAATGGTGGCGAGAAAAGTTGATACCGATATTGTACTACGTACGTATTGGTATTTATTTACTCTGCAGTTTCTTATTTAGACTCGATATAAGTGACCTAAAATATAATAATGTAATTCCAGCGAAATATACATTGAGAGCTGGAAGTATATGTGTCCTATCAATATACGGCCTTCACCGTCACCCCTCGTGGGGACCAGACGCGAAGGAGTTCAAACCGGAGCGATGGCTGAATCCCGATACTTTACCTACTAACCCCAACGTATACGCAGCGTTCAGTTTTGGCAAGCGAAACTGTATTGGTATGATCACTTGAATTATTTAAAATAGGAGTCTTTATCTATCTATTGTAAAAGGGTATTCGTTTCGTTTAGTAGAGCCAGTGATTTTGTGACACGATTTTCACTAGCTTGATACCTCTATAGCTACATATAGACATTTTTTTCTGCATGTTATCTTTTTACATTTTAAATTAAACAAATAATTACTGTTGTCTCATTACAGGGAAACAGTACGCCATGATGAGCCTGAAGACGTCGATAGCGCATGTAGTGAGGAAGTTCCGCATTACTGCTGATATCAATATTTTGAAGTGGAGATACGAAATTGTATTAAAGCCTACAACAACTCCTCTTGTTAATTTAACATTAAGGACTTAAATAGTATTTTTTCTTTAATAAATTGTTACGTTTTATATAATGTTTTAATTAATGCAATAAGGTGGCAATCGATCAGACGATTCATCTGATGGCATGTTCGGTTCGGTATATTATGTTTTGGTTATTGGAGGACCAATTATAAACATATGATTCGTCAGACGTTGTTACAAAAAAAAAAAATCACGAATAATTTGATTTAACAGCCCCCAAATAGTTCCGAGGATAAAGGAGTTGGGGAAGTCTCCGTCATCCCGAACATGACAGGACTACACGTGGTGGTGGTGCACGTTCACGAATGCCTCCAAGGTAAAGCATACGGCAGATGGACACCCCACTTGCCTGTGCGTCTCCAGGTGGAATCTAGGGGCGGAACGTCACAAATGGGGCCGCGGATAAAGATTCCTACATTTTTACGTCCACTTGCGAGACAGGACATCGGTAATGCTTTGAGTCAGTAAGTATCTGACAACCTCTTTGTTTTCCCCAGGTGAGGAGGCACCATGAGGATTTTCAGTAAAAAAGGAATACAGCATTATAATATAATTATTTTATAAGATCACGCCTTCTATACCCGAAGGTGGAAGGTAGGCAAAGGTGCACATTAAGGGACTTAATGCCACTGTACAACGTAACACCCACTTTTCACTATTATTTTATGTTGATTCCTATGTAATAGGGGATGAGCATATTGCCATATATCGGGCACAATGTCAGACTCCGTGCTACTACTGAGATATTATTTTTAAAAACCCAGTAATACTTTGCCCGACCCGGAAATCGAACCCTAGGAACCTAACGGGTAACCGGGGATCCGGCTCGACGTGCAGGAGAAGGAACGGGGGGGTTTTTAGTCAGTAAGAGTCTGACACTCCCTCCCGCCTCACCCAGGCGGGAGCAGTCATTCGATGATTTTCCCTCCTTAAAAAAAAAGTAGACTAGGTTGTTTTGTAGAAAATTTTGAATAATTATTAATAAAATTTTGTTACGTTCTAACGATTTGACATACTTAAGTGTGGGAGAGCCTCTTCTCACAGGGAGACGGTTTGAGCATTAATCGCCACGCTTGCTCAATGCGGGTTGGCGATTTCAAACTTATAATTAGAAATTTTAAACCCAGGTTTCCCCACGATGTTTTTCCTTCACCGTTTGTCAGTGTTGTCTAAGTAGTCTTAGAAAGTACATACCTATAACTCAGAAAAAGTCAAATTAGTCCTTGTGTTTGGACGATTTCAAATCGTCCCCGGTTCCCTCATGCATGAGGGCCTTAAGATCAAGGAATAACCTTTGCAAATTTGCTTATGGATAGGAGCTAAAAGCGTGAAAATATAGAAAGCTACTCATGCAGGTGAAGCAATATGTTATACAATTAAGAAATGAACCGTGTAAACTTTCATTATGGCAATAGGCTCACCCCCTATTACGTGGGACTCATAACATAAAGTAAATAGTGAAAAGTGGGTGTTACTTATGTGTGCACCTCTGCCTACCCCTTCGGGGATAAAAGGCGTGATGTTATGAATGTATGTATTATGTAAGATTTAGTCTATCATTTGCAGTTGTCAATTCATTACCTATTCGATCACCTACTTAATAACAAATAGGGCTTGTCCAAACTTGTGTTACTTATAATGCTGACTTCTTCTGGGTCACTTGCAACTACAATAAAACGGAAAATGTTTTTTTTATTATCTATCATAATAATATCACCGTCATAAATCGAAACTTCTTGCGCTAACAAAATTGCGCCTACTTTGAATACTTTAGCAACAATAATTATTTTCACGATAATCGATCGGCTTTTTTGAGGGGTAATCAATTGATGTCAAAAAAGTCAAAGTCAAAACCTGCTCTTCGAGCCGGAGCCCTGGCAACCAGGCCTTCCGCGGCTCTCCCGGCCAGCCTGGAAGAGTAATTGTTGCTCTAGTTATAGAATTTTTCTTTTTTATAAAAGTTATTCTTCAAAAAGCTTTATAGTGAATGTCTGAGACACAATTTTAATTAGAAAAAAAAATACGTGTAATTAACCATGAAACTTTGAGTAACAGTTTAGTTGTGTTATTATTGTATTGTCACTGTGTTGTTATACTCTGTCGTTTCTTTGTTTTTTTTTTCTATAAGTATCTATATATATACTTATATGTGTATTTATTTCTTCTTTACTTTTTTTTGTATCTGTGTGCATGCCTACTGTCAAATGAATGCTTTTTCTTTCTTTATTTCTAACAGAACTTTTTCAAAAATGTTTAATTGCCAAGGATTACTTATGTAAATATTGTGTGTGTAGGGGTTTTCAATAAAACTTCCACTGCGTATGTTCTCAATCTGTATTTTTTTCAATTCTTCCTCCATTCCTCCAACGTCCATTCACCTTTTTCGTCCCACAAATTGCCGCCATAAATCTCCGCTTCCCGCGTCCCTTTTTCCCAAACCAAAATGTTTCTTTTTCGTTTTCGGTGTTGCCATGTTAAAAATGTTACCCGATTCAATTCCTCAGTATTTTTAATTAAAAATATATCATTTTTAGGAATAAACAAAATAATCTTACACTTACTATAAAGAGTACCTATGAAATCCTAACTTGAATTGAACAAGTCGTTTGTTTTCTAACACGAAATCTACACCACATTCCATGTACGGCTATAAATCAGAAGTGAACAATTAAGTTTCTTTTAATAAGTGATTTATTAATCTGTTTGTGCGAAACAATACTTTACGCCGTCTTTAATAAACGTGTCACAAATTTAAGAGTACCTAGATATATTATTTCATTATGTATCAAGTCAAGATGCACAGACGCTAATAAAATACAATCAAGGTCAATGTTTTTTGTATGAGAATAATTATTCTTTATATAGAATTAAATGTTTATCGACTGTGTCGTTGCTATTTAATTTATAAAAGAAAAATGAAATCTTAAAGCATTCAGTGATCAGGTTTCTCTATCATCATCAGGTTCACTTTTTCACGTTATAATTGACTCATCTCCTAATAATAGCCACTCCTAATTACGAATAATTTATTGAGCTTGATCTTCATATCTTTACATTTAACCATTTACGTCACTTTGCAGATACCGTCAGATCGCCACTATTTTTAGCTGAAAAGCACACTACTGTGCGTTGCCAAGAAATAGTCCGTGACATTTTGCAACAGTTATCGATTCTCCAATAGATTAAACCGAGCCTTTTTTTGAACGACATTTTTTTTAAACATTGACTTATACTAGAATTTTCTCCTGTGTCGTAGGTGCGTTTACAAACATACAAGTTCACATACACATGACACCCAGACCCGGAATAGCAATCTGTGGATCACACAAAGAGTTATTCCGTTCGGGAAACGAACCCGCAACACGTTGCGCGGCAGTCGGTTGCCCAGCCACGGCTCCAACCATGTCTTCTTTGGCAACATTGTGGACCCAATTTTGCAAACGAATGCTATTATAAATTTTCATTTCTTTGCCACTGTTATACTAAAACTCTGTTTATTTTTTTTGTAATTCTTCAACATCTATTACGTATATTTGAATAGGTTGACAAAGAATTAGATATGCCTAATCACCGCGCCAACCGTGCAGTCAAATTCTTTGGGCTATGGTCAGTAATTTCGTTTACAACAGGCTATTCCATATTTTTATTTTAGAATAGAATCAGGCGTTACTTTGCAGAACTGTATGCCACAGTAACAACTGGTACAATATTTAGTTTTTATTGCGCTGAAGGAATTTGTTAGCATGCAGTGTGCAACACCGCCCCGCTCGCAGATAAATGCTCAAGCATCAGAGATGTGATACAAAACACACACTCACACACACATTCGAGCTATGGGAGCCGCTGAGTCAACAACTCCTGAGGATGCTCCGTGGATGAGCGAAACATACTATGTTTCGAGTAGAATGGAAAAAAAACTGTGGAATCGTCAATCGTCGGCGGTATTTCCGAACCGATATGACCTACAAACCTTCAAGAAAAGAGCGTATTCCTTTTTAAAAGGCCGACAACGCACTTGGAACTCCTCTGGTATTGCGGGTGTCCATGGGCGGCGCTGATTGCTTACCATCAGGTGATCCGTTTGCTCGTTTGCCTCCTATTCCATAAAAAAAGTGTGAGAGAGTTTGTATCATGTCGAGTGTGGTTCGAGTGGTTTGTTGTGTGTTTCGTGTAGCATCTCTGCTGTATGAGCATTTATTATCTTACAAACATACGATACATATACTAAAATAACACTTTTTATAATTTTTTGTGTATCTGTGTGTACTGGGTAATAATCTCTGGAATGACTGGACCGGTTTTGCCGAAACTTGTATTGTCAAATAGCTAATATACTAAGGAGTAACATAGGTTACTTATTTTAGAAAAACGCTGATATAGTTCCGGTTTCAGCTAGTTTTCTATAAGAGTTTACACTTTGAAACGACTTTCACTAGAGAACTGATAGAACATGTGATAGATATATATTTATATATATTTTAGTAAAATTAAATTTTGGTATTATTAAAATAAATGTAATGATTTTTGACTTTGAATTTGAGTTTCCTGCAAACTTTACCAGGTCATTTGTCTAACATGTGGGCTGACATCCTTTTTGTGTTTTTATTTTTAATGACGGGGGGAAAACTTTCCAAAGGCGCCTAGCTTTTTGGGAGAAAGAGTGTGGAATTCGTCCCTCACTAAAACCACCTCGGTGGCCACCCTCAGCACCAGCTCAATAGTATAAAAACATAAACCTGTTTATTCTTGATGATTGATAATTCCTTACGTATTGTTACGTATTGGTATAGGGAGATTGGGTAACAGTGGATCACGGGTTACAGTGGATTATTCGTTATAATTCAGTTTGTGTATTGCTTTACGCACACAAATAAACGTGTGGCTGCTCATCCACACCCTTCTTCGCAGCGCCAATTGACAACGCGTTGTCAAAGCGGGATCACGTTCTTTGACACTGGTACAAAAGTATTTTTTACGTAGTTTAAAATATTGTTTGATCCCTAAGTAATT